TAGCGCATTTTTTTTTATTTTTGTGGAAATGCGCTAAAAAATGCGCTATTGTGGCCACTTTGTCCGTCCGTCCGTCCACTCGTTTTGAGACGCTACTAGTTTTTATCTTAAGAGCTATTGTTCTATTTTTTTCTCTATTTGGTTCGTTATGATGTCGAGTCTTGCACCAAGGAAGGAATTTTGTCTGTACCGCTTACAAAAAAAGTTATTGTAAAAAAACCAACAAACCGGTTTTTACATGTTCCATAATTTTTTTTTTTTTTTTAATAAATTTATTGCCAGATCAACAATCATAAGTTTGTTATACATAGCAGTGATAAGATTCAGTATGACTGTGTATCGTGACTTAGAGAGACTAAGTAGCGGTCCCTAGGAAAGTTAACCAATAATAAGTTAATCTTCTTCGTCGCCTGATAAAATAACGTCTTGGGGTAACCTGCGTTTGAGTCTGGTGTGGATATTTGGTTGAAATAGTTCATAGAACACCGCACCACTGCACGCACTTGAGTTAGTAATAAACTTTTTGGCACATTTATTAATATATTCTTGGATAGGCATTACTCCTAACTCTAAATGTAGCTGGGTGTTCCTAATATACCATGGTGCGTTGACAGCGGTACGCAGCACCTTTTTTTGGAATCGCTGCAGTTTTTGCATATTTGTTTTAGATGTGTTGCACCAAACCGGTGAAGCGTATAATGCTAAAGGTCGTAATAAGCTCTTGTATAGTAAGACCGTACATTCTATTTTTAGGGTTGATTTTCTGTTTATTAGCGGGTAGAGTTGCTTTAGCCTATTATAACTCTGAATTAATTTTTGGTTTATATGGTACTTCCAGCTTAGTCGGGTGTCTAAATGTACTCCTAAATATTTAGCGGCTGAGTCTTTGTCCATCCAGGATATTACTTTACTATTGACATGAATACTAGGAGTATCGTTGAATCTTCGTAATGTAAACACCTTGGCTTGGCATTTATCAGGATTTATTTGGATATTCCATTTTTTAAACCAGGCACACAGATTATCAATAGCTACTTGCAGTACTATTACTGCCTCGTTTAGGTTTGTAGCTCGAGTAAAAACGGCCGTATCGTCGGCGAAGGTAGCTAGTGTTGCGTTAATTTCAGGAGTGTCGGATGTGTATAGATTAAAGAGTAATGAACCCAGGATGCTGCCCTGTGGAACTCCGGCTCGGATATTTTTAATGTCAGATAACGTCGAATGGATTTTGACTTCAAAGCTTCTGTTTTCGAGAAAGGAGAAGATGATAGCTTTGAGATAAGAGGGTATGCTAATTTTTAAGATTTTAGTTTTTAAGCCTTCAGCCCACACACGATCGAAGGCCTGCGCGACATCTAGAAATACTGCTGCAGTGTACTGCTTGTTTTCAAATCCTCGTTCGATATGTTCGCTGATCCTTTGTAATTGATGATAGGTCGAGTGATTTTTTCTGAATCCGAATTGAAAGGTGGGCAGGACATCTAAATTTTGGATGCTGTCGATTAACCGTTCGTTAATAACCTTTTCTAGCAATTTCGATAACGTTGTCAGAAGACTTATTGGTCTGTAGTTGTTTATTTTCTTTTTGTCTTTGCCTGGTTTCGCATAATTTTACACTTGCCGTTTATTAACGATCCTAGAGATCGTTTATAAATTTGTATTGCTGTCTGTCGTCTGTCTGTTGGTCTGTCCGTCTGTTCCTTTGTCTGTCTGTCCCTCTATCTGTCCGTGTGAACGATAACTTTGTTGAGAAATGTCCGATCGCTTTTACATCTCCGTTAGTTATGAACTGAATTGCATGAAATTCAATATGGGCATAGCCTTAGCCATATAATACGCAATGCCAAAAGTTGAGTCAAATCGATTCAAAATTCACAGTGCCCGTTTCGCATCTCGCTCGACCATTTCTAAACCAAATTGCAAACTTTTTTATTTATAAAAGTATTTGAATGAAATTTGATACATAGGCACTTGGAGTAAAGGAAAATCAAACGCCAGTTTCAAAATTTAGGTTTGCGCATGCGCAGTTCCAACTTTCTTATTTAAGTAGGGAAAGAATGGGGGTGCGCAGATCCTCTTTGACCTTGGGTTCCGCGCATATAGGCTCTATATGGATGGGGATGCGCAGATCCTGATCAGAATCCTATGGGGATTCAATGAATCCTCTGACCTACTTTTAAAATGCGAGTGGGGTCTCAGAGAATCCTGGATGACCTAGTTACAACCCATTGGGGTCTCAAATGATCCTTCCTTAACGTACGGGGATTCATTTGAGCCGTCCTTGATCTTATCTTAATTGATGGGGTCACAAATGAGCCGTGTTTGCTTAGTTAGGTAAACGGATCCTCTGTGACTTACGGGTGTCCATTTAGGCCGTCCGTGATCTCGTCTTTAGTCGTAAACTCGTAACGCAAAAAAGAAACATTTTACGTAACTAATTATCAAGACGCAAAGAGCCTGAAAGATCTCATAAATTAATTGTATTTCGAACAAGGAAAAGTTCATAAATTTAATTCTTAGTAATCTCATTTAAGTGTGTAATAAATTATGAAGATTCAAAGAAGTCGTGTTTCAGTATATTCAAAATACCCAATTTCCTGAACAGCGCTCGGGTATTCCACTTTAAAATGAAGTTGAAAAAACATCAACGTTCATGAGTGTGCTACCCTGTTAAACAAAAATTTAGCAAAATTTCGCCGGAGTAAATTACAGTGCATTCGTTTAACTGGTCCTTAATTTTTTGAAATCTATTCAGTATTAACTGGCCAGGAACATTTTCTGTAGACCGTGCTTGTCATTAAATGACAGTTTGCCCGAGCGCTGTTATAATAATTTGGGTTTGATGTAGTTAAATTATCGCAGGGAATCTGAGGAAATTTATGTAGTTTAGTAAGTTTAATGCGTTTTACATACAGGAAAAAAATTAAAGTGTTACCAATTAATGGAACATAACGCGTAAAACTTAATGCATTTACAATTTATTACATGCCCAAATATGTCTTCCTCTATAAAGTGATAATAATTTAATTTAAAGTAACATAGCAGTAGTGCTTAATGGATGCCTATAATTAATAGGGAAAAAAAACCTGGATCTAAATATAATAAATAAGCAAAAATGAATCGTGGTCTATAAACTTCGAATCACATTAAGCAATAAACGTAATCAAGCCAATCCGTTTTACGTAAAGCAAAATCACCCATAATTAGGTGTTGTGATAAATACAAATTCGCGGATACGTATTTAAGTGGAAGTAGCATTTCATTTCATCTATCGATCACAGCAAAAGTGGTCTACATATTTTATAGGGAATTTTATACAATTAATTGTAATGTAATCCGAAACGCGAAAAAAACCATCGTAAAACTGTCGTTCATTCCTTATACAGTTCAATAAGGGTCTGAAAGAGCGTAATACATTTGTTTCGGATTTTTAGGAATCATAAAATTTTAGTTAAGTGGACACTTATGGGTAAAGATAAAATACAAATATCAAGTGCCGTTTAACTTTTTTTTTAGGTTATTTAGATAGTAAAGTAGGTATTTTTTAATCAATGCGTATGTGTATTTAATCTTAATGGAATAAATCGCGTATGATTATTTTGATGTCATAGTTCGACTGTATTAAGTTAATGGATGTCTAATTTATTACTGCACTAAATTACTACGAATATTTTAATTACACATGATTTAACACGTCTTAATGATGGACGGTGTATGAGTAACAGACTTGAAATACGCGTAAAAGTTAATGGATTTACAATTTATTATTGTAATAAATCTCGTTTGAGTGTGAGTTTGATTATAAAAATAATAATCGAATTTTGGATGTCTCTAAGTTAAATTAGAATGAAACAGCTTTCTCATAAAACGTAAAAATGGACAGAAACATTCACTTCACTCGTATTTAGTCATTGTTTCGTGTTCGCGTTAAGGGTTGCAGGCGCTTGGCAGCCATACACACACTTTAGCTATTTTTGAATGGGATTCATTTATTTTCCTTTATTACTTTACGTAACTGAATAAATTTACTAAATAAAAAATTATAAACCTAGATCGAAGAGTTTTCGAATGATGTGAGTTTTTTTTCCCATAATTTGGTGAATCTTTTACAAAGTAAATCCTGTTATAAGACAAAACGATATACTTAACCCATTATTATTAACGTTTTATACATGACTACTGAATGGATATGTAAGGTTTGTTATCTTTTATTCTAAAACGAAATGCTTGGTAAAGGGTTTATTTTTCAAAGGTAATAAAATGTAATAGAAATCGGAAAGTTTTTATTTAAAAGTGTTTATGAAAAAAAATTCCAATGTGTTATTTGATTCACGCATGGTGAATGTGACCGGCCCAAATGATGTTATGATAGGCGGGCCGGTGGGTGGAACCGTTGTCACAAATAGGGGTGTTCTTTCAAAATTGTTCACGATGACCGTCTTGGGGGTATCTACGGGCCGGTCTATCCATAATTCGAAAGGAACCACGTCCCAAATTTCGATTTCTGATAGGAAAATAAGTAATTACTTTGATGCCTAAAAGATTTAAGTTCTACTTACCGTGAGTTTCCATATTAACTAGATATTTGTTAACGAAATGTTATGAATCTTTTTTAATTGAAGAAGTTGTATTTATACCAAAGAACCTTATATATGCGAATATCGATGGAATGGGGAAATCCAAACCTTTTTGGAGAGGTGTATTCGTTAGGAGGAGCACGAATCCCAAGAAAAAAAATTTTAATGGGCAGTCGATATCTTCAAATAGTTTGAGATATTGGTAGATAATTTGTAGAGAGGAAATGCTCAATCATGCTCCTTGATCAATTAGTTTAAACCCCACACATATATAGTGCAAAAATATCGAGCAGCTGCAGTAAGCATGAGTGCTTCGCCCCGTATTAAAATATTGCAGAACATTGTAGTCGTGCCCGCGAAAGAAGCTGATGTGCAAGAAAACGAGTTAATAGAAGATATTTTTAAAGATTTAATTTGTCCAGATTTCGATTATTCGCTTCTTGAAGAAATCTTCGGTGACATTGAATGCCTTAACCGTCAACTTATAGACGCCGAAAAACAACTTTCTCGATTTTTTAAGATTTTATCTATTAAACGGGAAAACAATTTTTGCGATCTCCAGTGGTGCCATTGCCAAGTGGAGCACCTTATTGAAAGGAGGGCAAAGTTATTAGCGGACATCCAACAGTTATCCGTAGGGTAAGTAATTGAGTGGAGTTACTTTTTTTTTGTCATTTACTGTTATCTAGGAGCTTCCAGTAAAAATATTGAAGAGTTCAGATTTTGGGGGATCATTAAGCCGGTGTGCCAACTGCTTATTTAAAAAAGGAGATCAAGCTCGTTTATAAGGTGAGAAAGTTGCGAAATTATTTCATTTGTGACTCAATTTTATAGGAATCAAAAATGTTTATGTGTGAAAAATGTAATAAATCATTCGCTACTAATAGCAATCTTCGACGCCATCTCAAAAAGTCATGTAGAGGTAAGGAATTTTTATTACTCTTGCAAAAAAAAAGTGTTTAAATCGTAGCTCAAGAACCATCTCCAAAGAAGCTCAAAGTTGCACACGATACCCAGAGATTTTGCGATGTGTGTTCGGAGCACGTTTCAAGCCGAGATTATGTTGGACATTTGCGAAGTGTCAAACATAAAAATAATTCCCTTGCGTTTTCAACTGAAGGTGTTCAAGTAATTACGTCGGCCTTCAAATCTCGCATTGTGAGCTACAGAATATCAGCGAATACACAATACATTAATCTGAAGGAATTTGTCGAATCGTTGGCTGACGTAATAAAAAAATTAGTTCGTGAGCAAATTGATATCATGGGTAGCGTTAAGGTGAACTGCGAGCTGTTTGGTTATTTTATTTTGGAATCGAAGGATCGAGGAGAAGTTAAGTCTTTTAATACTCGTAACCAAGTATTGACGATAAGTTCCGACTTAAGTGAATGGTTTAAGGATATCATCGAAAAACGTTGACGCAACGGAATTTGAACATCGCGAGTCAGGTATTAATATCCAATTGTTTATGCCATGTTTACATAATTATTTGTTCTAGGATGGGCTCTTCAGCACTGGTTATATATGGAAGTCAACATTAATAAATATAACCCGCTACGAGCTTCTTCATTCATACCGACCCCTGCATTTATCTCACGCAAAAGAGCCATTATTAATGTAAAGAACGAGGATTTCGGATGTTTTGGATGGGCGCTAGTTGCAGCTATTTATACTCCAACTGGACATCCCTGCGAACCGGATTCGTATCCGGACTATTTAGAAAAGTTCAATTTTGAAGGAATAACGTTCCCGGTAAAATTAGATGCGATATCAAAATTTGAAGAAATGAATCCCTTGTCCATTAACGTTTACGGTTTAGAGGAGGACACACAGAAACAAGGTAAAATGACATATAAAGTAGTAGGTCCTTTACATTATACCAAACAAAAGAAAGCCGTGCATGTAAATCTTTTATACTTGTCTAATTTAGATGGCAACAGTCACTACTGCTACATTTCTAATATGTCGCGATTAATTTCCATGCAAGTGTCCAAGCACAAAGAAGCTATTTATCTATGTGACGGATGCTTGCAATATTTTACAAGTCAGGAAACCCTGTGGCGCCATTCTAGATTCGATTGTAATTATGTTTGTACATTTTTGCCTACAAAGGAACCTATCTTGACAAAGTGGGGCCAGCCGTCATTTGATAATCGACTTAAATTTAATAATTACCAAAATAAAGTCAAACACCCGTTTGTTGTCTATGCGGATTTCGAATCGTTGCTTAAGCCCATAGAAGGACCTCAACCGAATCCTCTTCTTCAATTTACTACCAAAACATTTGAGCACGAACCATATTCGTTCGCGTATTATATTAAATGTTCTTTTGATGATAAATTTTCAAAGTTTCAAATTTATCGAGGTGCCAATGCTCCAGTGCAGTTTATAAATATACTAGAGAATGATATTCTAACCATATACAATCAACATTTTAAGCAAAGTAAACCTTTACAAATTTTAACAGAAGAGGAACGGAGAAAAATTAATCTTGCCACAAATTATGGGATTTGTGAGAAACCTTTTGTTGAGGGAGATGTAAAAGTGATCGACCACGACCATCAGACTTCTTTCGTCAGGGCCGGATTATGTCATTCTATATGTAATTTACAGCTTCAAACCCCAAATTTTATCCCTGTATTTTTCCACAATTTGACCGGGTACGACAGCCATCTTTTCGTTAAATCCCTGGCTTTAGAGAATGAAAATATAGACGTTATTGCCGGAAATAAGGAAAAATACATTTCTTTTTCGAAGCATATTGTAGTAGATCAAATCGTGGAGAACGGAGTTCCAAAAAACCTAATATGGAGAATACGTTTCGTCGATAGTTTTCGTTTTCTGGCCAGTTCATTAAATGTTCTTGCTAAAAATTTGAGTGATAGCGAGTGCACTGAAGTTACAACATTTTTTGGATCTGGACGTGAATTTGAATTAATTCGACAAAAAGGTGTTTTTCCGTATTCGTTTGTAGACTCATACGATAAGCTTAATCTAACTACGATCCCCAATAAAAGCGATTTCTTTGATATGTTGCACGAGCAGGACATTACCGATGAAGAATACAGACGTGCTCAGGAAGTTTGGAATTTATTTAATTGCCAGACGTTGGGCGAATACTCGGACATTTATTTAAAATCTGACGTGCTTTTATTTGCCGATATATTTGAAAACTACAGAGGCGTGTGTTTACGCGAGTACGAAATTGACGCTGCCCAATATCTGACCGGTCCTAGCCTTAGCTGGGACGCTATGTTAAAAAAGACGGATGTGGAATTAGAATTACTGACAGATATTGACATGCTTCATTTTTTTAAACGTGGTATTCGAGGCGGCGTCAGTACGTGCACCAAACGCAAAGCAATCGCTAACAATAAATTTCTTCCCAATTACGATCCTTCCAAACCAAGCTCATTTATTATTTATCTGGATGCATGCAATCTTTATGGTCATTCCCAAACACAATTTCTCCCACAAAGTGACTTTGTTTGGCTCACACCCGAAGAAATTCAAAATTTTAATGTTTTCGAAATATCAGATGAGTCACCGATCGGGTATGTCTTAGAAGTTGATCTACTGTACCCTGAGGCCCTCCACAATTTGCAAAATGACATGCCCTATTGCCCAGAATCTATAACTCCGCCAAATTCAAGGTCAAAGTATAAGAAACTAATTCCAAATTTAAATCATAAGGAAAAATACGTTTTACATTATAGAATGCTAAGACAATGCCTGCAACACGGATTAATTTTAAAAAATATTCATCGCGGGGTTAAATTTACCCAATCGCCTTGGTTAAAATCCTATATTGATCTAAATACGGAACTGCGTAATCGTGAAACTAGCGAATCGGGCCGTGACACTATAAAAACTATGAATAACAGCATTTATGGTAAAACTATGGAAAACGTTGACAAACGAGTTAACGTTGCACTTGTAAGTCACTGGGAGAGGATCGGTAAGAAGCCTGGAGCTGAGGGGCACATATCTAAACCAAATTTTAAAAATTTATCGGTGTTCTCTGAAAATCTCGTGGCAATTGAAATGTCCAAGGTATCCGTAAAGTACAACAAACCGGTGTATGTTGGTTTTTCAATTTTAGATTTATCCAAAACAGTTATGTACGAGTTCTTTTACGATTTTCTAAAACCATTATATCAAGATAAAGTATCTTTGTTGTATACAGACACCGATTCCCTTATATTGGAGATTTTTACTAATAATTTCTATGATGACATGAAATTATATTTGGATAGATATGACACATCTAAATTTCCCCTTGATAATGTACACGGTATTCCACGCAACATTTCAGTTGTGGGGAAGATGAAAGATGAATATTGCGGTGTCCCCATCGCTAGTTTTTACGGTGCAGGTGCAAAGTCATACTGTGTCAATGTAGGTGATCGTGTAGATAAGAAAGCTAAAGGGGTAAAAAAGTATGTAATAAAGAACGGCTTAAAAGAGGAAGATTATAAGAAAGTAGTCGAAGAAGGGGGCGTGATTATGAAGCAGATGAGCGGTTTTCGATCTCACTTGCACACCATGTACACAGAAATGACAAACAAAATAGCCTTATCATCAACGGACGACAAAAGATACATTATCCCTGGCACTTGCAGAACATTGGCATGGGGACATCGCGATATTAACGCAATTCAAAGTTTGGAAGATTTTCTTAATTCTTTGTAATCATCAATAACAAGCTAAGTTATTTAAAATGTTTATTTAAAATGTTTACAATACCATGTGCCATAATTACAATAAAAAAAATAAATCGCATTGTTTTATTAAATAAGATGAGCGCCCGGACTACAACCACAAACGCAGTAGGTCTTCTCTGTTTCATTAATCTTCAAGCAGGCCATACGATTTAATAATCTTGCATATCTGCAACGTGACGACCAACGAAGGTGCTCAGCTAAGGGTACATCGGAGGCCTCCCACTTATTAATGCGCACTTTACAATAAAAGCATTCCACCGTATCGCCGCTATGCGTGTAGAAAAATCCAGCATTAGCAAGTTCAACTGCCGATGGAACTCCTACCCATGAATGAAATGATAGGAGTCGATCTTCAAAGTTGGTATAATCAGCTGCGCCGTCTTCTAAACACATCTTACTTGAAGTACAGCTTTGAAATGCCAAAATTTATAGAATATCTTTATTTAATACCCAAGAATTGTGAGAACTGTCAAATCCTAACCACTTCACTAAGGATTTCTGGCCCTTTCTTCGAATTACTCGCTCAACCAAGTGGATGTCGGGGTACTGCGCTTTTTGTAATTCTTGTTCGTAAAATCTTCCTTTTATTTCTTGATTTGTACTATCTTTTAGTATATATGTCGTAGGATTTGAACGTTTCACTTTAGCAACTGTGAATGTCTCGTAAGTCCAATTTGGCGTGTAACCTTTTGCGAAAACGGTTCTGTATTTACTAATTCTCACAGAATCGTCCACTTTAAATTTAGGTGGTTTTGGGTTAATCACATTTATATGACTGTAAACTCTCTTCAAAATACTTGAGGCGTTCTTCTCGTTAACATCGATAGGTTTATATCCCGTAGTTCGATGTTTAGTTGAATTGTATTTCCGTAGTTCGATGTTTAGTTGAATTGTATTTGTCAACTATTTGAGGTAAAAGTGATAGCCACTTGTAGGAACCCTGTAAGCTGAATTTCTTGAACATAATTGACTTAAGCGTTCTGTTAACGCGCTCAACAATAGAGCTTTTTAGGGTAGAATAGCTACTATAATGATTGACATTGAATTTCTTCATTACATCTCCAAAATCCTTGTTATAAAATTCCTTTCCCATATCTGTTTGTAAATGTTTCGGGGTCGTTTTAAGTCCCGATAAAAGTTTATTCATAACATCTGCCACCAGTTTTCCATTTTTTCGTTTTATAGGGTACGCCCAAACAAATTTAGAAAATGTGTTTATAACCACCAAAATGTAACGGAAACCTTTGTTCATTGGCGCATAAGGTA